AAAGATTATCCACCATTGTTTTTTTAGGAATGGGAGTGACGATGGCACATTTCCAAGATTCTGGAAATACTCCTTCCAATATAGATTTATTGACTATCACCACTATCGTTCACAAAGAATATGGTAGCGTAAGTTTTAACATCAACATGGTGATGCCATCAGTTCCAGTCGCATTAGTAGCTGTAGAAGCAATTATAATTTTCACTAAAGTTTCATTTACGGCTACAAATTGAAATTCGATTTCAGAGTGTTTAAGTGATTTGATTTCTTGAATAACACTATTATCGGAAGGTGCACATGATATGGTGTTTGTAAAGTGATTATTAAGTGAATCAGGGTCAAGAAGATGGTCCGGTATGGAACGGTTTTTTACGGCAGGTGATATGAATATTTCATGTAAATTAATGAATATTGCAATTTTCATAGTGATTAGTGCAATAATATATGTTTTATGGCGAAAAATAAATATTGTATTTCATATTCGACATCCTTATCCTAGTTAGGATGTCTATCTCGCTGATACTACTGATTGTACTGATGTTAAAAATATGTGACATCTCTTTGCAATTATATTTATGGAACAATATTTTATAGAACTCGATAAGATCTCTGGTACGGCGAGATTTCAGCGTAATTAGATTCAATATTTTTAATCTCTCTTCGTACGGCTTTTTGCGAAGGTATAACGTAATCTGTGTGGCTTTTCTTTGTACACTCTCCAGCAAATCTACATCCGTAACAAAAGTGGTTCCAAATTTGAAATCTCTCTATCAGCGGTCGTATGTTGTTTTGTAGACCTAGAGCAATGTATCTAGAGTCAGATGTTGAAACGAGCGTCTGATTCCAGACAAAATGCCGTTTACTTTCTTGACAATGCTATAGATATGGTCAGCCCACTTGAGGTCGGATGATATTAAGACTCTTAAATCCTTTTGTGAATATACTGACTGTACTATTGAATTTCCAATGTTATACACTTCTCTAGGATTGTTTTGACATAAATGCAAAATAGCAGAGTTAAGTCTTACAACCCAATTTTTATCCACTCCTATATTCGCTCTAAGTCTTTTCGTAAGGTTCCCTGGTTCAATAGAGGATTTCCGAAGTATTCCACATCATCAGCAAAGAAACAGACGTCTGAGTGTATCATAGAACTCAGATCAGCAACAAAAATGCCAAAGAGGATAGGCGCGAGTACTGATCCTTGTGGCACTCCACTCTAAACGTCTTTAGGTTGCGAATATACGTTTCTAACTCTTACTTGAAAGGTTGTTCAACTCACATAACGTTTGATCCAATTCCAGAAGATTTCCTCGGATACCCAGATGTTCCAACTTAACCAAAAGACGTCTGTGTGGCACCCTGTCAAAGACACGTTCAAATTCAAGGTAGAATATATCCACAGAATTATTTTTATCAAATTCCTCAGTCTATTTGTGGTATCAGGAACGAAGGTTAGAACATACAATTACATATAATCTTCTCCATACATTTGCAAACAATACTAGTAGTACAGAACAGTGGTAGAGGTACGTGGCAGCTTTGTTGTTGCACGTATGGGCCGGCTCAAACCAGGATAGTACCACGACTTCACAGAATACCGGCGTGAAGTGGAAGCTCTGTTTCCGTGATTCGTCTGGTGAGTGCAGGTGGCCGGAGGCCCAATTCTCCCCCCGCCCATCAATATGGTAGCGGAATTAAATGTTGACTACCCCAGGAGGGTACCAATACCCCTGGAGAATCCCTCGCTGCGCATGCACAACCAAGCTACTTCACCCCGAGCGTTGGTGCTCAGGCTGCCCTGCGTATTCTGGGGGGAGGTCAAAATCCTGCTCAAAGCAACAAATGCTCTGGGCAAGCTGAGCAAAAAGACCAAGGCGATCCCTGACACGATATCCGAGAATTTCTGCAATATCAGGGATCGACTCGACTTCACTCGAACCTAAACGCCGTCCACTGCCATCTCGAGACGACGAAGCCGGTTCCGGTTCTGCTCTTTCTGATCGAGACGCAGGTGTACTCTCCGGCTGATGCTTCATATCTCTCCTACCCGGAGTACAAACTGGAACACTCTTTTGTGCCTCGGGCTGGAGTTTGCGTATATGTCGGAGAGGACATCTGTTCTCGACGACTCGGCAGTCTTGAAGGTTCGGACCTGTCCATTCTTTGACTACGCGTAGACAGCGACGACCATTTGCGCATCTACGGGTGCATCTATAGGTCCCATAGCGGTAATGCCGAAACAGACCGACTCTAGACCACGTCCAAATGGCTACAGATTCGTTGCTACAGCAGATCCCCTGCGCAGAGATCGTGATCCTCGGCGATTTTAACGCCCACCACGCCGAAAGGCTTTGTTCACGTTTAACCGATCATGCGGGGAGATCTGTTCATGATTTTGCCTTGGCATATGGTCTGACACAACTGAGAAAGCCGATGTGCTAGGCTCTTTCTTTGCGTCTAACTCGACCCTCGATGACGGGGGAGTACGCCATCGACCATCCCGCGGTGTGAGTGCTCCACACCGGAGGTGCGGTTCACACAGCGCTCGGTTCGCAAGGCACTCCTCTCTCTGGACATCCACAAGTCGAGTGGGCCTGACGAAACCCCCCAATTGTGCTGAGGACATGTGCTCCAAAGTTGGCACTGGTTCTAACGCGTCTTTTCCGGTATTCCTACTCCCTAGGCGTAGTCTAGAAATCATGGAAGACGGCTTTCGTCCACCCGATCCCTAAAAAAGGCAACCGCTCAGATCCGTCAAACTACAGGCCTATCGACATCACCTCCTTGTTCTCTAAAATAACGGAATCCATTGTAAACTACCAGCTCATACGGTACCTTGATGATTACCAGCTGATTAGTAACCGCCAATACGGTTTTCGTCGTGGTCGATCAGCTGGTGATTTTTTGGTCTACCTGACTCATCAATGAGCGGAGGCAGTAGAGTCCAAGGGGAGGCATTGGCCTTATTGGGTTAGTTTGGACGTTGCGAAGGACTTCGATCGGGTTTGACACAAAGCGCTTCCTTCAAAGCTCCCTTCCTATGGGCTCTCAAGAAATTCTACAATTGGATCACCAGCTTTCTTGCAGATCGGAGCATCAAGGTCGTGGAAGACGGTACATGCTTCGATTACAAGCCTATTTATGCTGGTGTTCCATAAGGCTGCATGCTATCACCAACGCTGTTTCTTCTGCATATCGATGATGTGTTGCAAACCGGTAACATTCATTGTTATGCAGATGACAGTACTGGTGATGCTCTGTACACCGGCCGTGCCACTATTTCTCTGGTAAACATCTCCGAGTACCGGGACAAACATGTATCTGAAGTCGAGTCTTAGCTGGACAAAGTCTCGAATTGGGAGCGACTAAATCTAGTCCAGTTTAACCCTCAGAAGACACAAGTTTGCGCGTTAACCACTAAAAAGAACCCCTTTGTCGTATCTCCTCAGTTTCAAGGCCCTCCCCTTGTTGCCTCAGTCAGTATCGGTATCCTCGGCGTCGACATATCGAGTGACGTGCAGTTTCGTGGTCACTTGGAAGAGAAGGCTCAGCAGAGTGGGACAGTATTTCATGCCGGCACACCGTCTGCAACTTTACAAGGCGCCGGTTCGGCCGCACATGAAATACTGTTCTCATCTCTGGGCTGGGGCTCCCCAGTGCCAGCTCTTACCACTTGACCGCATACAGCGCAGAGCGGCACGAATCTTCGACGACCGAGTGCTTACCGATTGGTTCGATTCACTGGCGCTGCGAAGAGCGTATCTCTTTGCATATTTTATCGCATCTATCACGAGGAGTGCTCTGAGGAACTGTTCAGATTAATCCCAGCCGCCAAATTTCATGAACGCACTACGCAGCAAACCTCCCGACACCATCCACACCATCTGGATGCTTAGCGGTCCACCACTGTACGTTTCACTAGAAGTTTTCTTCCGCGTAAGACCTCTCTGTGGAATATTTTACCACCGGCGATTTTTTCGAACCGATACGACTTGGGGACCTTCAAGAAAAGAGCTTACTCCTTTCTAAAGGGCCGGCAACGCACCTGCTATTTCCCTGGTGTTGCCACTTGACCGCATCCAGCGCAGAGCGGCACGAATCTTCGACGACCGAGTGCTTACCGATCGGTTCGATTCCCTGACACTGCGAAGAGGTGTTGCATCTCTTTGCGTATTTTATCGCATCTATCACGAGGAGTGCTCTGAGGAATTGTTCAGATTAATCCCAGCCGCCAAATTTCATGAACGCACTACGCGGTAAACCTCCCGACACCATCCACACCATCTGGATGCTTAGCGGTCCACCACTGTTTGTGTCGCTGGGAGTTTTCTTTCGCGTGAGACCTCTCTGTGTAATATTTTGCCACCGGCGATTTTTTCGAACCAATACGACCTAGGGACCTTCAAGAAAAGAGCTTACTTCTTTCTAAAGGACCGGCAACGCACTTGCAATTTCCCTGGTGTTGCGGTTGTTCATGAGCGGCGGTCGTCACCTAAAATCAGGTGAACCGTATGCTCGTCTCCTATAAAAAAACATCCTGTGGTGTGGAAAGGGTTTATTTAGATTTTTCTGTCTCCTAACTATTAAACTAACCACACCTAACTATTTTGAGAGAAGCATGTCGTCTAAAATGTCTGTGTAACGTCACGGACGTCTGTCCTGAGATGCATAGTTAGTGAGTCGGAAGAGTTTATGTAAATTTAAAATTATTTGGACGTTGCTTAAGTCAGAATTTTTGTGCAAAAGTTAAACATCTGTGTACTGCGAACCTTGTATGGTGTGGATATATTAGAGTGTTTAGTGATTAGTGAATAAATAGTAAAAAAAAACAACATTTACATATTAGAAACATTTTATTTTTAAATGTCATCGAATAAAATTTAATAACATAATACCGTCATATAATACTGATCAACACAGCTCCATCTCAGGCTTCCGTTGTGTACTAATAAATCAACGCAACATTTAGCTTTATCAACTATTAAAACTTATTGATCATGGCAATTAAGTGCAGTGCGTGCGGTAAATACATGTCTCCGCAAGATGGCGCTAATGTTACTTGTACAAAGTGCAATAAACAGCTACATCGTACGTGTGTAGGCATCGCAGTGGGCGCTTCACTAATGCCATCCTGGGCTTGCCCTGAATGCAAATTGAAAGAAAAACGTTGCAACAAGGACACAACGCCGGTAAAACCCGCAACAATGACTGTTGCTAATTTGAGTGAGGTTTCAAACCTCGGGGAGGAATTGCGATGTTTCCGAGAAGAAATGCGGCAAACCCACGAAGAATTTCGGGCATTCAGAGAAGAACTTCAGGACATAAGAACCCTTGTCAGCAAATGCGATGTTCGTTTAGATAAGCTCGACAATACGGTCCAAACTATCCTGGAATCCCAAGAGCAATATGGCTCTCAAGGATTCAAAATTGAAATCCTAAAACTCGAGTCGACCGTCAATCAGCTGAAAGCCGACTTAAACGATAGGGACCAGGAGTTGCTTGCAAATGACGTCGAATTAAGTGGCATTCCAGAGGAGAGTGGGGAGAACCCAACACACTTGGTTCTATCAGTTGTGACCAAGCTTGGTGTTCATTTGGAGGAAAAGGAACTGGTCCATTGTATGCGAATGGGGGGCGCCCGCCAGGATGCCACGTCTCGTCCGCGGCCCATCGCTGTGCGGCTGGCGCGGCGCGACGTGCGTAATGACGTGCTGCGCGCTGCGCGCGTCCGCCTGTCTCTAACAACCGAGGCTCTAGGTCTTAAGTCCGCACCCTGCAATATCTATATAAACGAACGACTGACTAAAACAAATAGGCAGTTGTTTCGTATGGCACGCGAGACAGGCCGCAAGCAGGGATGGCGATATGTTTTGATGAACGGAGGCTGAATTTTTGCACGTCGGGAAGCAGGAGCTCCAATAAATCGCATTCGCTTCAACGCGGATATTGCAAAGGTTTTTGGGTCCCAATTTGTTGATCACCATAACTGTCTCTCAGTTTATTTACAAAAAAGAATTAGTGTTTTTAATTTCTTTATTTAATTTTGTAACTATTTACTATCGTCAAGTGTTTTGTGGGTACTCGTATATACCCATAGTTATTAATAAGATTTATTTACAACATCGAAATAATACGAAATCCCATTTAATAATATATATAGTTGGGCCAAGTTATCGTAATAAGCTATTTGTACTTCCATTTACAGTTATAAAATATTTGCTGCCCATATACTCGTATATTATTTGTTATAGTCTTTTGAATTTTATTAGTGCATCATTTGTTCTTAACTGTTTGCCAAACAAAGTAAATGTCTTTTTACATTACTCAGATTTTATAAAGCTTGACGCTCATTGTTGTTGTTATTATGTGTGTAGTGGGGCAATGTCTACAGGGCCGATACGTATGTATATTTATGTTACATCCTTTATAAGCTTTATAGGCATTAGTTATTTAAATGTAAGAAAATATGTATATCACCTAAATCCTACCCGTTATAATTATTTTCTAAATTCAGTTAACATTCTTATAATATCACAAACCTACAACAACATAAATAGAGTAATGAGACAAGCTCAGAGTAGGAACAATTATTGTGAGTATTACTCTGATATTTGTTGGTCAAAGATGTCAATTGTGAATATTCCTTTATATCATACAACATGACAAGTAACTATTTACTACTATTTCTTATACTGTCGCCTATATTTTTATACTGACGTCTGTCGAGCTTGTCGCCATCCCGGGGAGTCACTTAGGCATGTCATCTGCGGTTATTCGGCGCTTTCTAACTCTGAGTACTTGCACAGGCACAACCTAGTAGCCAGAATTCTATACCAGGAGCTCGCTCTGAAATACGGTCTCGTGGACCGGAAATTGCCGTATTACAAGTACTTGCCAGAAGCCGTGCTCGAAAATGACCGCGCCAGGCTCTACTGGAACCGGGCCATCATCACGGACAGGACTATTCTTGCGAATAAGCCTGATATTGTGCTGATGGACTGACTGGACTGTATATCTTAAGTTAGGGCTTCTAAATGTCGGTTCACTAGGTACAGGCCATGAAGAACTAGTAGTAGCTATAGATCGCCACGCTGTCGATTTAATGGCGATTAACGAAACTTGGTTGCATGAGGGTGAGGAAGCGCGCGTGCGCCCGCGGTGCCAGGATACCGGTTACGTCACATTCCCCGACCGACCAATGTGCGCTCGCGAGGTGGCGGAGTTGGCTTCTACATACGGCAGGGTCTAGCTGTTCGAACGTTGTCTCATCCTTCGACTCCGCTTGTAGAACAAATATGGCTTGCTCTAACTATTAACGGTACTAAGATCGCAATTGGTACTGCCTATAGACCACCATGGTTAAACGTAGACACATTTTTCGATGCTTTGTCTGAAACTATCGGGACTCTTGCAGAGTGCAATTATATAATCTTGTTAGGGGACTTTAATATAAATGTATTGAACACCGCGGATAGTAATTATAAAAAATTTAGAGAATTCTTACAGTGCTACAAACTGAGCCAATGTGTAACTGAACCGACTCATTTCACCGATCATAGTCAAACCTTAATAGATATAGTTTGTACAAACATCCAGCAATACGATATTTTAGTTAATCACATACCCGATCTGAGTAGCCATGCATTTATTCGTTGTGAAATTATTTTCAAAAAGCCCAAACAAAAACCACTTATAATATCACGCAGAGACTTACATTCCATTGATGTCGAACAGTTTGAATTAGATCTAAAGTCGATGAACTGGGAACCATCAACACCCTGAATGACGTTAATGATATGGTATCTCTTTTTAACACAATGATGTTAACCATATTTGATATTCATGTGCCTCTTTGCACAAAAACTGTAAGACATTTACAATATCCCTGGATCACTTATAATATAAAAAAAATTATGAAACTCCGGGTTGAAGCTAGTTTAGTAGCACGTAAATCTGGTTCAGAGATACATAAGAACTATTATAAGGAACTAAAAAAATACTGTATTGAGGCGCTTCGCAAAGAAAAACAGGCATACTATGACTACTATATCAACAATACTAAAAGAGATCCTAAAGCCATATGGTCACACATAAAAAAATTTAAGGTTAAAAAGTAAACCACAACTACCGTATCATATTTTTAATGATCCCAATTTAATTAATACCAGCTTTTTAAATGTTCCTGGACATGATCAAATACTTACTTCTAACACGTCTCTCTTTGAATCTCATATAAAAGTTTCAAGTAAATTTAAGCTAAAGACAGTACAGGAAATTGATATTTTAAAAATAGTACAGTCATTAAAATCAAATGCGGTTGGTATAGATGGCATATCCCTTAATATGCTCAAAATGTCAATACCCAACACAATATCTGTTATAACAAATATAATTAACAAATCTATAGAAACCCATACAAATCCCACAGAACGGCAACACGCTTTGGTCAGACCTATTCCTAAAAACGCAAATCCAACTAACATGAAGGACATCCGCCCGATCGGCATTTTGCCCTGTGTGTCAAAGATTTTAGAGAAGGTTGTGGTCGACCAGCTAAGAAAGTATTTGGAAACAAATGAAATACTCCCTAGTTTACAATCGGGTTTTAGGCAACATTATAGTACAACTACCGCCCTGATTAAAGTAATCGATGATATTCTGTCAGACCAAGACACTGGAAAAGGCACAATATTAGTTCTACTAGACTTTTCTAGAGCATTTGACTGCTTGAATGTACCATTACTTTTGTCAAAATTGCACTATTATGGTTTCGACGTAACTGCGGTGAAATGGTTTGAGAGATACAGGTACACAGTACACAGTACAGGTACAGGTAGTTAAATATCGCGCACCGCGAGTAGAAATTTCTGACCATAGAGGGTTGCGCTAGTTTTCGATTTCAAGGTTGTGAAACAAGATGTACCTCAGGGCTCAATTTTAGGACCACTTTTGTTTGTTATGTACTGTGCAGATATGGTAGATCACATCAAACATTGTAGATACCATATGTACGCTGATGACACACAGATTTACATATCATGTAAGCCTGAGGAAACTCAATCAGCATACCATACCATACCATAAACACTCACCCCTGTCACCCAGAGGGGTAGGCAGAGACTACAGATTTCCATTTGGCACGATCCTGACACACCTCTCTCGCCTCCTTCACATCCATACACCCATACATGCTCGTCGGTTAAGGGCTCCTAATTTGGCCCGTTTCCAATAAATCGCCAATTTGGTCGATAAATTTTCGCCTAGGACGTCCCTTTCCGACTCTGCTATTAACTTCTGCAACATAAATTTTCTTTGTCACTTTTTCCTCATTCATTCTTTCCACATGAACAAACCACCGAAGCATTCCTTTCTTAATCCTGGTCACAACATCATCTTGCAAACCACACTCTTCTCTTATTACACAATTTCTTACCCTGTCATTCAGATTCAGCCCTAACATACTCCTTAACGACCGCATTTCTACTGCGTTTATTCTACTCTCGTGCTTCTTCTGCCACACCCAACTTTCACTACCATACGTTAAAGTAGGGACCAACACAGCATTGTGAATTGCCATACGTGCATTTTTCGACACATTTTGACTCTTCACAATAGAGTGCAAGGCCCCATTTACTCTATTTCCAATCAGCAATAAACAAATTAAACGAAGACGAATTTTAATAAGCAATAAACAAATTAAACGAAGGTTTAGAAGGCATTGCTGATTGGTCAAAATCGAATGCTCTTGTTCTAAACAGAAATAAGTCAAAGTATATGATTCTAGGAACGGCTAATCAAATTCAAAACATTGCGAATCAACGGCTTCATGTCACCATAAAATGGGAAACAAATTGAACGTGTGACTGAAACTCTCAATTTAGGTTTGCTTATGGATGATCGTTTGCGCTTCGAGAATCACATACTTAATACTGCTAGAAATTGCTTCTACAGACTTAAAGTCCTGTATCAAATTAGAAATTTCCTGAAGACAGATATTCGAATAAGTCTCTGTGACTCATTAATTTTTTTATCATTTTTCATTTTTCTATTAATACGTAGTCAAAAACTCATTCAGCGAGTTCAGAACGCTTGTTCAAGATTTTGCTTCGGGATACCGCCACGCACTCACGTTACGCCATACATCAACGAAGGCAACATTTTAAAAATGAAATATCGTCGTCACTTTCATTTAGCATCATTACTGTTTGGTATAATTAAATATCATATGCCACCTTATCTCTTCCAAAAGTTGGTGTGGTACCGCGACGTAAATTCAAAAATAACTCGTGCGTCAATTTATTCTCTCGCCGTGCCATTCCATCGCACCGTTGCTTTTCGTAGGAGCTTTAGGTACGCTGCCTCAAAGTGTTGGAACGACCTGCCGCCACCGCTTCGTAGCCTGAAAACAATTAAAACCTTTAAAGAAAAATATAAAAACTATCTAATATTAACTCAGAAGAACATAGGCTGAAGCGTACTACTCACCAAAATGGGTACTGGCACATAGCACAGGCGGTCAAGGTCGCAACTAATAAAATGAAGTGATGATAATATAACCTTAAAATGGATACTGTTCGGATAGGTCCACTGACCGTAGGCTAAAAAAAGTATAATTTAGTGTCGTCAATCAATAACTGAGGTAATTTATGTATAAGTTTTAGAAATAAGTGTTAAAATATACATATATTAATATAAGAAAACAAATACAACGTAATAATACCTTTTGAAATAATGTAACATATTAATTAATAAAGTTAAGAGCACACTGGTAACAAAATTTTTGAAAATAAAAATAAAGTGCAATTATAATAAGCACATGTACATAACTTTGTTTGGTTTGAAATCAATGATTTCAGCATAGTTAGACAGATTGGTTTTAGAATATTATTATGTATCACTCGCGGACGTCCGTACGTTATTATCCGTTCGGGCCCACTGAAAATCAGCGCTGTTGCTCCGGCGACAGCATAAGCTGAGTGAGGTCCGTTTGTATAACGCGCCACAACATACTCGTACAATATGAGAAACGATTTTTTTTTGTCTTTCTATTTTTTTTTAAATTATAATCTATAAGTATACATACTTTTAAATTGTTTTATCCGTCAAATTTTTGTTTTTGTTTGTTATAATGTTCATAATTGATGTGTCAAAATTTAAGTGCCTACTGATGTTTGTGGCGTGCTGCAATAAATCTTTCTTTCTTTCTTCTTCTTTCTTCTAAAACTATCTCCACTTCATCCTTCAAGGCCATTCACTGTTCATCTACTGATTTAGTCCAGTCATAGCTACATAGCATGTCTTTGAGCTCTGCGTTAACAATATCATAGTTTATTTTATGTACAGCACGTCTAAATAACAAATGCGATGAAGGGCTTAAGATGAAGTATTAAATTTGAATTTTTTGATCACTTTTACCAATTGAAGCTGAGTAGGTAATGCCTGAGATAAGATCTTCCTCATTTATCATTACCAAATCCAGTAAGGAGGGAATATTTCCGGATTGATAGCGGGTTGGCTCGGTGACCTTTTAGCATAGAGGTGAGACAAAGTATTTTTTAAAGAGAAAAGCTTAGTCATGCAGGCTCTAATCATAAGAAAATAGCCAAATAATGTCCCAGTAGTTAAAATCTGAAACTATGATCATGTTGTTGTGTGCAGATGCA